CCACTGTAATTTCTAAAAGGGACTTGCAATGTGAACATTTAATAAACACACCCATCCATTAATCTAATAGTCATCTGTATATATCATAATGACACATTTTCTATGTAAAAGTTATTTTAGAAGAAACTTCCGTAGTTTGAAAGAATTAAGAACACCTGGTTCTAATAAAATGTGAAATTGACCCAGAGGCAGAAGAAGAACTTGGGTTGAATGTACAAATGCATTTTAAACTAGGTTTTCTAATCATACTATTGTAAACCTGTTTAATTCTTTTGTAATTAATGGCTGTATAAATGCAAGCCTATAAGAATTTAAAAAGTGATACAGCCACAGATTTTAGCTACTAGAACAGGGTTCTTGCAGGATTATTGCATTCAACTATAGCATCCAAGAATTCTATAATAGAAATGCAATAAGGGAATTAAGGCAGGTAGACATACAATATGTAAGCTATTGAAATCTTTTCTGGAATAATTCCTTATGCATATTTTAGATATTTCAGGAAAATAGTATTTTGTAGCTGTGCCAATTATATTTGTCTCAGGAAACCATAGCCAGAAGGTAATCTTAATTCAGGATTGCAAACAAGCAAGGGCAATGATTTGAGATTACCTGAATAAACTCTGTATATACATATGCCTTTCTTTTTCTTTTTTCTTCACTACCCCTTTGCATGCTCTACTTGATCAGGAATGTTCTGGATTTCAGAAACTACAGTTTGCTGCTATATCCAAGCCAAACTATGGTTTGTCTGAGCTTTGTAAAATAGGTTCGGGAATCTGAGTGGGAAACCATGGTTTGTAGCTCTGGTCTGCAGGGATAGCAAGAAGGAACAAGCTCAGCTGCCAAGCAGAAGCCAATGACAGGCTGGCATTCTGACTGAACCAACTCATTATTTCACATTCACCTCTCCATCCGTCTGCACTATGAGACTGGTCATACTGACCTCACACAGCCACTGGAGATGAAATGCCTTGAAGATTTCAAATGTGCCCAGTGAAAGCAGTGGTCTGTTTTAGTTGTTAAAATGGAACTGTTCATAAAAACTGATATCCTGACATCTTCATCTGAGTATGGGCGAATTCAAGCTATAAAGCAGCACATTTTCAACATTTGACACAGAAGGCTGAACTTATGCTTGGGCTCATCATGGTAAAGTATGTGTGCATGTGTGGATGAATCAGATCCTGCAGATGTTGTGTATGATATAAATGAAAGTGCACATGTTGAAGATGTGCATAGACCTGCTGCTCTTTGGGTGGTAATTTGGGAGGCCTTGGACTTCAGTCCCAAGGTCTGGCCCTAACTGAACCATCCCATTGTTGAAAATGGCAGGTGAGGCCTCTGTTACAGTCCAATCCCCTGACCTGAAACTGTGCCCTTTACAGCAAAGCCTGCTCTCTCAAATATGTTACTCTACAACACCTGCTTCAGAAAAAAATATCACCCTCTAACAAATGTTAGCAATGTGGGACAGCAGACACATCATTAGTGTACATGATGTGGAATGCCCAGTGATGGCCCCCTTCTGGACAGAAGTTGTTGGACACATCAGCTTTGTCCTAAATGCCTCATTCTTGTTTATGGATGTCAGTGTATCGCTGAATTACATGCCCACATCGTGGAAGCTACCCTCTGGCCACCACGAATGGACTGTACGAGCCCTCAGGGCAGCTAAGATACTCATTACGGGGGTGGAAAGATGAATCGTCTCCCTCATCCATGCAGTGGATTGAAGACCTCACAACACCAGCATCCTGTGAGAGAATATACTACCAACAACAATTGTATTCTGATTTTGGTTAATCCACCTTAACCCATATTAAGGATGTGGAAAAGGCACTTTTAACGCGTGTGTGTGTGTGTGTGTGTGTGTGTGAGAGAGAGAGAGAGAGAGAGAGAGAGAGAGAGAGAGAGAGCGCGCGCGCGCGCGCGCGCGCGCGCGAGCATATATGTATAAATGTACCTCTGTTACTGTGTTGTTTTGAGTTTTGTTTGTTTTGTTAAAAAAGAAGGGGGTGAAAGGAAAAAAAAGAAAATGGCAGGTGAGGGACAGCTGGTTCCCATGTGGGATTCCAGGAACCGATTTCACAGGTTGGCAAAAACCAGGAGCTGCAACAGTGTGAAGATTTTGTCTTCTTATCTGGCAAGGAAGAGTCTTGCACACCCCTTCCATGCACAGCCCTGCACAGTTTGCAAATATACATTTTCCCCATCTGTTCTTGTTTTGTTTGATATAATGGGAGTTTTATGTACTTTGGAACAGAAATGAATGTGTTTAATTATAATATTAACAGTCCTTTACAGATTACACAAGCTTTATATTTTGCTGAAAATAAGCCTGAACTGGCTCTGCCTTGCACATTAGGACCTGGTCCTAAGTCTCTGGAGGGTTTGGTAGTACTTGCAGATGGATGCACAAGTGTTTCAGAGCTCTTGGGATGCTGCAGAATGGTACCACCATGCCCTTTAAGATGCTTGGTACCATCCTGGATATACTTTTAGTGAAACATCTAACTGTACGCATCCAGTCAGAATTAATTCTCTCCACGATGGCCAGTTTTCTAGAACAGTTTCTAGGACAGCATCATCTTTGGAAGTGTCACTTTAATAAACGCAAAGGAAGTTAGAAAAAAATAATTTTGTTGCATAGTTTGGCCAGCCTTCCACCTGTTTCAGTTCTTCAAATGGTTACTATAAAAACTTCTCTTATTTAGCATGTCATTCCTCATAGGTATTCTGACAAATGAAAGTCATATAACAAAATAACCTTCAAGAAACTGATTGATAACTCATCAAAATATGAAAACCACAGTGATTACCTACATCGGTCTAACAATGCAATCCTATTCAGCTACACTGAATTCAGCAGGTCTTGTGACTTATTCTATGTTAAGTACCTATAGGATAGCAGCCTTAATTATCAAGACCTAATTACCTATTATTATATTTCTAAAGGGAGGTCTTGCATGGCTTCTCTGTTCCAGCATGCATTTGTATAATCCAGTAACAAGCTATAGTTGTAAGCCTAATTAAGTCTGCAACAATTTATTTTACTGTCATTTACTTAAAAAAAAGACTATCTGCATGCAAGATGAAACTTCTCCATTTTAATGGACCAGCAAGGTTAACTAATCTCCTAAAGCTGTAGTTTTGTAGATGAATAATATCAAAGATGATTGTTAAGCTTCCTATTGGGCTACCACATACAAACTGCAACACATCAAAAAGATAGAATGTATTAGAGCCCAAGATAAAAAGTTCTGTAAACTTATACGAATCCATGGGGTGGTTAGGAAACATTATGGCAGGGAAATTTAATAATAACAATTGTAACTGCCATTAATTATTGTAACCAACGGATACTCGGGCCTAGCTTTCCCTGTGCCTTTAACAGCTGCATGGTTGAAGTTTGGCTAGTGATGTTTCTCCTGGCATTATCTGGCAAATCTTTCACTACTATCTGAGAATTCAAAGCAAAGATGATGTGTTTGGACAGGAGATGGCAACCATTGTCACAATAAGGGATTAGGAATATATTTACAAGAAAAGGAAGAACTTACTTTTAACAAGTGGCGGTCCTTTGTCTCTTTGCTCTTCTGACTGTAGGTCACAGGAAAAGAGGGAAATGGGGGAGCCACCACAGCAATTTGGCTTACGGCTTTCTGTTCTCTGTTATCACCCCGGTTTCGTTGCTCTGTTTAGCAAAAAGAAAAAATAATAACATTCTTCACACTGCTATGTATTAATTGTGAATGCTCTCCTGACATGAAAAGTTTAACTGTAACTGTATTGTTTACATGTTTACAGGTTTTTATGACTTTTATTCTTTTAACTGTTTTAAGGTGTTTTTAATTGTGCAGGAGAGACCATTTTGGCAGTTACCGGTGGCATATAATTTATTAATTAATTAAAAGCTTTTCTATCCCGTTCCCTACAGAATGTCTCAGGATGGGTTACAATAAATATATGAATGAATGAATAATAAACTTCAGTCCCAAAGCTGTTCATAGTAAGTATGTGTATTATTATGATTTTAAACATCTTCTTGGTATGCAATTAGTGCTGTATAAGACCACTTTTGATGATATCCTCATCCTTAAAATTATCTATAAGTTACATTAGAATTATCTCTGTACTGCAGATAGGTTAGGCACTGAGGATGAAAGAAAATGGCTTGACAAAGTCAGCCTTCCCCATCCTGGTACCTCCAGAAGTTTTGGGCTTCAACTTCCATGAGGTCCAGCACTGGAAGTGACCAGGAATGGCAGTAGTTGTCATTCAAAACAATTGGACAGCACCGGATGGGAAAAGGATGGCCTTGGTAATTCATGGCAGAAAGTTGGGAGCCTGGCTCTGAAGCCTAGTACTGTATGTCATCCCAATATAAAATGCAAATATATTTAATTTTTTGTTCTCAAAGGCAGCAACCTAAATGCTATGATACTTTTCCCATGTCCATATTTCCTTCACCCCTGCTCTACAATAGACACCGAGAAGGAACTAATTTGCACCACTTGTAAAATGTGGAACACTGAAAAACAAGACAAAGCCTGTTTGCATTGGTTTCTCCTACACTCATCAGCCACCAAGTTGCCTACTAAGAACCAAATATTCTTACAGGCAGTGGTAAATGAAGACAATACAATGGACCTGTGATTCTCAAGAGATAGCAAATTGATTTACAAATGCAGCCAAACAGGTAAAGGACAGTAATAAGGAGAAGACATTGTTTTGCTCCAAATTACTCAAAATGTAGTTAATATCAAATAATTTAAACTGGAAGCTGTCAGGAACAGATTGCGGCTTGGTCTTGTTACCATGTGTTTGTTTGTTCACTGTTTGCTC